TATGAAATTCCATTAAGACACACCGACACAAGTGGAAGCCCTGACGGCTGGAGCCGAGGCGAGTTAATCCTGCGAGTTGACTGTGTGCAGCTGAGGGCTTAGAGCAGCAGCTTAACACAAGGCCGCAGCTTTGGCACACCTGCCAGTGGTCAGTCACGCCTCGGCCAGCTGAGCGAAACACAATGTGATTATAACACATCATTATTAACGACACTGTATTAAATCGATTTTATCCTGAACGGTTTAAAACGTTGTTTAAATGTATTTGAGCACGGTGAGTGACGCAATATTAAAAGTAGGAGCAGGCAACTCTGTGAGCGCTGATTTGGGGATGCGTTTAGGTTGAAATTGGCTTAAATTTTGGAAGAGTTTTAAAAGTATTTAAATGACTATAAGTCAAAATAAGCCAAACTATGAGAGGTATCTGACTCCTCTATGAAAAAGAATCGAACTACACTCATTGAGCGTTGGGTTGGGTAATTAATCACATTTGTAAAAATGAATAATTTTTGCATTATTTTGCTAAAGAGTCTGTTTCATAATGAAGAGCACAGCGTTCCTTTACAACAGCGGGCTCTGTAAATCTCGAACTTACTAATTCTTTAGTTCAAGAGCCAAATTGGGACAGAGAAGACCAAGTCTTCCACTACTGATACACAAATACCCAAGTGAAATTTGAAAAGTGGAGAACTTTTCTAAATCTTTAGGCATGTAATATTGGGTTCAGAGAAATATATGCAATTTACACTTCCGGCAAGCAACATCTGCTCAAGTTTATTTTAACGTGTACTGTTATACGAGGCTAAAAAGGCTGCATAAAAGTCTTTCAAACCCCCCCACGCAACTCTTTCTTGAAAACTGATCTTTCCCAACTTGTGCAGTTTAAGCTATATTTTTGCAGTGCAATCTTTGCTTGACTGGATGTGCACACATAGCCGTGTATAACAATCAGCGTAGGTGTCTGCTGCTGTGTATGTGAAAAGTTAATTGTCCATATTTGCATGCAGTATAAAGCAGCGGCGGGAGGCAGACCTGGCACATGCTCCCACCCACTGATTTGAGCTGTCAACCACGTTTATTAACTATGATGAATCACCCCTCCACCTCACATCCAATCAAAGACCTCTCAGAGGGACTCAAATCTGGTCACCTTTAACTAAATGATTTTCTTGGCCCATGGTGCGGCAGCCAGCGATTGGACTGGCAACCTGATAATATGGCTGCTGTTAGAATTATTCTGCCAACAGCCCACAGCTGGATCAGTCATTTTTGAAACAGTGTGGTGAATTAAGTGGCCAGCTGACATGCCGCTGCACGGTTAGGACATTTTTTTAAAAAGCTTGCTTGGCATGTTAAAGCAAAAAAATAAAGAGCTCTACATACTTGGAATATAAAGGTGTTCTCTTGACCTTGCCTTGAGGATTAAATCTGTACTGGGTTTCATCTCTGCTGCATAATATAGTACATTTTACCATATGAGCTGACAGGTACCATTGAATCAGAATAATCTTTCTTCCACAATGTAGAGGGATTTTCCGTGAGTCTTGCTTTTTCTCCCAAACCTCCCAAAATTCATCTATTTTTAACTAAACATGTATTTGCACATGTTATACTAAAAATGTCAGCAGCACAGGGAAGAGACAAGGTCAATGAAAACACAAACCCCCAACTGACCAAGTGCTTCTCCCAGATCAGAAAAGTAGACCTCGGCGTGGAACTGTACACCTCGAACGTCACTGAAGGATAAAACCTTTGATACGGGCCTGAACGGAAGAGCTGGGGCAGCAAAGACAGAGGGAACTGCACAAAAGGAGAGCGATCAATAGATTCTTGTAGACACGGCCTCAAGTTTCCAATCCAACACAACGCTGTATTGATTAGACTTCAAGGAACAGGGATCAGAATGTCAGCAGTGGATTTGGGAGTCTTTAAAAAAAAAACTACTGCGCAGAGGATGGAGCAATAGTATATAATGAGGCTCTTGCTTATGCACTGCAAACTAATAACATAGTAGACCTGCAAGATAGTAGCACAAGAAGGTGCACCAGAAACATGCCATGTCGGTGTAATACAGAGGGTTTTAAAAAGTACCAAGGACAGCAAAGGTCTTCCACTACATGCATCAGAGAACCAAACAAGGGAAGTTATTTTCTGCAAATATTAGAAGCACTGGATAGCCACTGTGCAGAGAAAGAGGAAACCATCATCATCAAAGCAAACAAACAGAAGCTGTAAGGTAATTGGAGTAACTGTTGTCTAAAGACAAATGCTGTCTAAAAAGTTAATATTATAAACATATGCTGAAATGTTATCATCAGTATCTCACTAATAACTTGTTCTAAGCTTTCCCATTAATCCCCATGTCATGCTGAGGTAAATGGCTAAAATAATTAGAAGTAGAGATTTTTTATGTCCGATACCGATATCATAAATTTGGATATTGGCCGATACCGATATGAATCCGATATAGTGTGTTTTAATCAATAAAACTGTTTTTTTAATATCTTGCTGCATTTTGTATAAGTTCATACTCAAGTT